GAACGTGTCTAGTTAATATGGTCTCTTAACTGGTGCTAAGTGAACGTTTCTAGTTAATATGGTCTCTTAACTGGTGCTAAGTGCACGTGTCCAGTTAATATGGTCTCTTAACTGGTGCTAAGTGAACGTGTCTAGTTAATATGGTCTCTTAACTGGTGCTAAGTGAACGTGTCTAGTTAATATGGTCTCTTAACTGGTGCTAAGTGCACGTGTCTAGTTAATATGGTCTCTTAACTGGTGCTAAGTGAACGTGTCTAGTTAATATGGTCTCTTAACTGGTGCTAAGTGAACGTTTCTAGTTAATATGGTCTCTTAACTGGTGCTAAGTGAACGTTTCTAGTTAATATGGTCTCTTAACTGGTGCTAAGTGAACGTGTCTAGTTAATATGGTCTCTTAACTGGTGCTAAGTGAACGTGTCTAGTTAATATGGTCTCTTAACTGGTGCTAAGTGAACGTTTCTAGTTAATATGGTCTCTTAACTGGTGCTAAGTGAACGTTTCTAGTTAATATGGTCTCTTAACTGGTGCTAAGTGAACGTTTCTAGTTAATATGGTCTCTTAACTGGTGTAGAGGTTAAGTAAGGCTAGATTAAGTTTGGTTAAAGTGGCTTAGGTTAAGTTAGGTTAGATTAAGTTAGAGTAGTTTAGTTTAGGTTAAGTTAGGTTATTAATATTCTTTTCCAAACCATACCATTTGGTTAACTTAAGTTAGATTAAGTTGGGTTAGGTTAGGGTTAAGTCCGGATATTTAATATTTTCCATACCATACAATTTGGTTAGGTTAGGAGGAAGACATAAAGGGTGTGGATGAAGGGAGGGGGGGGGAGGCATAAGAGGCATGGATGTTTGGAGGGAGGAGGAGGCATAAAGGGGGTGGATGGATGAGAAAGGAGGCATAAGATGGATGGATGGAAGGTGAGGAGACATGTGTAAGACCCCGTTTGCTTTCATTCAGTATTTTGTTGCCTGAGAGACGAGATAAATGCCATGGTCAGATCTATTCACTGAGGCGTCTCCTTGCTACCGTGAGCTGATATGAACCCATGATGTGTTGAAGGTGTGTGTGTGTAGTGTGTGTGTGTGTGTAGTGTGTGTGTGTGTAGTGTGTAGTGTGTGTTTTCAGGAAGTTCCACACACTGTTAGTTGAGGATTATAAAACATGTAGACTATAACAGGACAAACAAACATACGTCATAAGTCTCAGCTACACACGTGAATGGACCTTGTTGTAGAGTCTTAGTACAATTCTGACGCCATATTGGACACTATCAATTTAAACGAACCAGTTAGTTGAGAGAGATGGTAAAAAAAAATGTCACTCGGGGAGAATTGTAGCTACATGATGCAGTAATTTGAGGTCGACAGCCAAGTGATTCTTTTGATGAAGGAATTGGGTCGATTGAACTTCTGAAAGGGTCAAGCCATTTATAGTGACAGAGCCATTTACAGCTGGGGCACTTGTTTGGGGGGGAGGGGAAGCCAGCTGTGTGGTGTGTTTCCGGAGGTCAGCTGAGGGCGTCCTAGAAACTTAATCTAACCTAATCTACCCTAACCTAACCTAATCTAATCTAATCTAATCTATATATTTACATGTTGAAACTGGCTGATTTAAACCACGATCCTCCCCCCCCCACACTACCACAAAACACACACACACACACACACACACACACACACAGCTGTAACCACGTATGAATTATGTAACTTTACTAAGAATTACACAGACCAAAACAGCACCACCACTGTCTTAATGTCATCATCCTCGTTACGGTAGAGTCTCAGTACATGATGGATACCATTTTGGATGTTGTGCCCTCTCCCCGCCCCTCATTTCATAGGTCTTACGTGTCTAATGTCCTCTACCCATGTCTTCTGTGAGCGATATAGGGTACTCCCATCTCTCTCTCTCTCTCTCTCTCTCTCTCTCTCTCTCTCCACGTCCCAGATACCCTCCCACAGCCTCCCCCAGACTCCCAATTTGCACAATGACCCCCAATTAAGGCCAGGGAGTGACCTTAATTAGTACTTGATTGGCAGGGGACACTTAATTAGGGTGGTTCAGTGCGGTTAAAGTTACTATTTATTGTCGACCCTTAATGTGTAGCGTCTCCACCCTTTCTCCTGATGTCTTAAGGGGTAGGGGGAGGAGATGTTGGGGAGTTTAGGGGTGGTGGGGTAGGGGAGATTATGTGAGGGGAGATTAGGGGTGGTGGGGTGATGGGGAGATTAGGGGTGGTGGGGTGATGGGGAGATTAGGGATGTAGGGGAGATTTGGGGTGGTGGGGTGATGTAGGGGAGATTAGGGGTGGGGGTGATGTAGGGGAGATTAGGGGTGGGGTGATGTAGGGAGATTAGGGGTGGTGGGGTGATGTAGGGGAGATTAGTGGTGGGGTGATGTAGGGAGATTAGGTAAGTGATGTAGGGGAGATTAGGGGTGGTGGGGTGATGTAGGGGAGATTAGGAGTGGTGGGGGTGATGTAGGGAGATTAGGGTATGTAGGGATAAGGGGTGGTGGGGTGATGTAGGGGAGATTAGGGGTGGGGTGATGTAGGGGAGATTAGGGGTGGTGGGGAGATGTTTTGGACCATGATTTTTAAGGAAGGACCTCTGAGAATGCAACGAGAGGTCAAACACGGGAGAAAAGGTCACAGGAGAGGTATTCTGGGGGTCAGACGTGGAGGTCATGTGGGGGTGGGTGGGGGGTGGGTAGTGGTGATGATGGTTACAGTGGTAGTGGTGGTAGCTACAGTGGCAGTAGTAGTTGTAGAGGAGATACAATAGTAGTGATAGTAGTGGTAGTAGCAGTAATAGGGATAATTAGTAGTATTTAGAGTGGTAGTAGTAGTAGTAGTAGTAGTAATAGTGATAGTAGATGAAAAACTGTAGTAACCGGACTATGGAGAGAGAGAGAGAGAGAAAAAGAGAGAGAGAGAGAGAGAAAGAGAGAGAGAGAGGGGCGTATCCACTTCTCAACTGATGTTAACTAAGTCATTTGCATAATAGATAAGGCTATTCATTTTAATACGAGATGGTCTACTGAAAACTACCTTTAGTCCCTTAGTGATGTATCTACCTCTTCCTGTCTACCTGTCTATTCTACCTTCCTTCCTCAATCTATCTACCTCGCCGTTTACTGTCTACGAGAATTAGATGATTATGAGTTAAAATTAATGTGTTTGTATGAATGTGGTTTTGGTTAGGTTAGGTTGGGTTAAGTTAGGTTGGGTTAAGTTAGGTTAGGTTGGGTTAAGTTAGGTTTCATTATTAGATAATTTTTTTTATTATTATTATTTTTAAGTCTGCAAATTAATAAGCATTGTAATGATGATGATTATGATGAAGATATGAACTAATTATGATAACAGAAATGATAATTTTAACAATGGCAATAATGATAATAAATATAGTATGATATAAGTAATGCTATTGACAAGAGTGAAAATAATAATAATAATAATAATAATGTGGCAATACTGTAATGATAATAACTATGTATAAAATATTTTGAACATATTATCATATGTTTTAGTTCTCTCTCTCTCACACACACACACACACACACACACACACACACACACACACACACACACAAAACATATATGCTATGATGGGCGTCGAACCAACATACTTTTAAGTCATTACGGACACCTGCGCCCCTTCCCCACAACACCAACCACCTTCAGTAAATTACAAATATTTTAAAAAAGGCCACCGATTTGATTTATAGCTACAAGAGGCGGGGATGTAAGGTGAATGAAGATATTAGTCAGTAGTAAAGGTAGAATTTGTCTTCCATTTATGAACCCGTCGGCTACAGGTTAAGAAATAATGTCACTTTTATGACCTATGATTTGGGGCGTCGAAAACCTCTTGTAACCCACGAGCGGGAATGACCTGTCTTGGGGGGGGGGTGGGGTGGCTTGGCTTTAGTACCACAGAGACGTCAAGAATTACGGCTCTGTGTTTTGCATCTCATGAATAGTAGTTTATGCATCCGAGACTAGTGTCATATTTAAGATGTTTGAACCATGAGATTTTTTTTTACCTAGTTCGTTATATTGAGTTTTTTAACAGACCTTTTATATTACGGATTTTCTTCACCATATAGCCCGTTAAATAGAGGTTACACTATACTTCACTATCTATAACTCTACCAATACCCATATAGAAGAACCTTGTCAATATGGGGTCAAAATAGCCCTCAGACTGTACCGTAAGAGGAGTCATTCTTATCCGGAACAGTTACAGGTAAGAGGAGTGAACGAACGAATTATTGAGAAGTGGCAAGTGCTTAAAACATCTCCTTTGTTTACTATACGATTTTGAACCTTGAGTGTACTAGTCTTAAGGTTCATTGTTGTCCAGAATATGGTTTTGTTTTTTAAGGCAATGTCCCAAGTTGTTGATCTCCCTGTGTGTGTAATAATAATGCCTCAACAACTTACGAGCTGGTGTATATATCATGGTACAGTTTGTTGTATTTTCATGTTAACTTTAGGAGTCGTGTTCAGTTGTGTAGTTAAAAAAAAAAGTATTTTAATTTTTGTTAATTTTTGTTTTTGTGAGGTATTATGGTAAATTGTCATAATTGTACTTGTCAATACTGTTTTTATCCCACTAGATTTATTTGTTTTTCATTTCAAGTCGTATGCAAATTACTCAATCAGCTAATTCGACACGGCATTTGTTGTCTTGTTTACTCTTTCGTGCATTTGTTTTGGTCAGTTAGGTGTGTTTGTTTACCTGCTGAGGCCACGTGCACGTGTTTTGGTCCGTCAGCTGATACGACGTGGTGTTTGTTTACTTACTGTGTCCACGTGCTAATGTTTTGGTTAGACAGCTGATCAAGATTTTGTTTGTTTACATATTTGCGCCACGTGTGTGTGTGTGTGTTGTGGGTGATCTTTGTAGTATAATCTGTGTATAATTGTTTCATTGGTGTATATCTATATACATAATCTCTATTGGTTATTGTATATTAATTTAATTTATCCCGGCAGGTGGTGGGGAAGACCGAGGAAGAGAAGCTGAAGGCCTCAAACACTTAAGGTAAAGGAACTTAATTTTATTGTATTTTTTGAAAGACTTTTCCCTGAGTCTGATTTTGAGGCAATTTAGTAAACGTTAATTATGATATTTGTGAGTTTGTGTGTAAATTCTGAGTTAGGGTTTGTATTCCTATAAAAAAATCAATATTATTGTTGAAACGGATTAAAAAAAAATAGAAAAAATCACTTATTGGAAACGGTTAAAAAAAATCAATTTGCTGATGTGACGTCAAGACCCAACCACTAACCTGACGTCATGACTCGACCACCAGCAGTCACTCAGCCTTAGTCAATTGTAACAGTTAACGAGGAGGCCACATTGTTATTGTTTGTTATTTATGCATCACAGGAGAAAAACATTAAATTGTATGGATGAAGAATTTTCCTCGTACGGTAAATAAAAGTGATGGTGTTAAGGTTAGAGGTGCTGTGGCTTTCTTGATTACTGCGCCTCAGGGTTAGGAAGAGAGGGAGGGAAGGAGTGGGGGAATGGAAAGAGAGAGTGAGTGGGAGGGTGGAATTTGGGTGAGTGGGAGGGAGGAAGTGGGAGGGAGGAATTTATGTGTGTGGAAGGGAGGAAGTGGGAGGGAGGAATCAGAGTGTGTGTGGGAGGTAGACTGGAGTTATCAGTTTCTCAGAGTCTCTCAGTGGAGTGTGTGTGTGTTGGTTGGCCATATAAGGGGAAGGTCTACAGGTAAGAGTGTGGACAACGTGCGCGCCTTTCTGGCCTTTGTTGACAGTGGCTAACACCATCTAGCGGCCGCTGCTGTTACTAACCACCCTATGACGTCACGCTTTGTTTACCTTCCTTAATTTATTTTTTTAAACTTCAAGTACCTTAAAATTTACTTATATTATCATTTAAGTAATTTTTTATCTTTTCATTTGATTTACTTTCAAGAATATGTCGAGTTTAGTGGGTGTTTGGTTATGACAGGACTTGCATTTGAACTGTGTCAGGTTCGTGTGGGTAGCGTGGTGAAAGTTAAGGTCAATATTTGGGAAACGTATGTAATTTTGTTCACACGTGGACATGGGATTTACTCCCTAGGAAATGGGTATTTTACATTACGTTACGATTATGTTGGGGGGGTTAATTTTCAGGTGTGTACAATGACTTTTTATACATTACGTACAGATGTGTGTAAGGGTAAACATGTATTCAGGTGTGTGTATAGGAACAAAGTACAGGTGTGGATTAAGATGTGGAAAGTGATTATGTACAGGTGTGCAAAGGTGATGATGAAGCAGACAGGTTTGGTTGGGCTGTGAAATACGTAGATAACAATATTGATGGTGGGTGTTTAGTCTAGCCCACCGACCCACCCACACGCCCACCGACCCACCCTACCTGGTATTGAACTATGTGTGTGTGGTGTTGTGGGTACTGGTCATGCCCGTAGCTAATACCAATACCAACAAGAGCGCCACACACACACACACACACACACGTACAACACTATCAACGCCCTCTACGCCCCCCCCCCTCCCCAGATAAGGAGATAGAGTGTGTGTTTGTGTGTGTGTGTGTAACAGGAGCGGACACTAAGTGTATTAGACACGAGGCTCCATTAATTAATCAAGGACTAATGATCAGTGGTACAGGGGCGGGGTGACCACACACACACACACACACACACACACACACACACACACACACAGAGAGGGGGGGACGTTCAGGGTTCAAATATTTTCCTTTCAAAATCCCGGTCTAGAATCCGGCTAAAAAAAATGTAACACACGTACGGCGGAGACTACTGGTCCACGGTAACCGGAACTACCCGCAGGCCGTAGAGTCGGGGCTTCGGTATCGGTATCCCCATCGAGAACCGGATCCGATCACGGGCAGCCCACGTGAGGCCCGCCGGGTAACGTGTCCTGTCCGATACCCGATACTTGACCTGTAATGTAGCATGGTGAGGGGGTGTTGGGGGGCTGTTAACTGTTGGAGGAGGGTGGTGACTGTTGGAGGGAGGGTGATTGGTGGTGGAGGAGGGGTGGACTGTTGGAGGATTGTGTGTGGAGGAGGAGGAGGACTGTTGGGGAGGGGTGATTGGTGGTGGAGGAGGGTGATTGGTAGAGGAGGGGTGACTGCTGGAGGAGGGTGATTGGTGGTGGAGGAGGGGGTGACTGTTGGAGGGTGATTGGTGGGGAGGAGGAGGGAGGACTGTTGGAGGAGGGTGATTGGTGGTGGAGGAGGGGGGTGACTGTTGGAGGAGGGGGTGATTGGTGGTGGAGGAGGAGGGAGTGACTGTTGGAGGAGGGGGATTGGTGGTGGAGGAGGAGGAGGACTGTTGGAGAGGGGGGTGACTATTGGAGGAGGGGGGTGATTGGTGGAGGAGGGGGTGGACTGTTGGAGGAGGGTGATTGGTGGTGGAGGAGGAGGGAGGACTGTTGGAGGAGGGTGATTGGTGGTGGAGGAGGGGGTGACTGTTGGAGGAGGGTGATTGGTGGTGGAGGAGGGGTGAGGAGGAGGTGATTGGAGGAGGGGTGACTGGAGGAGGGTGGTGTGGGAGGAGGGGGGGACTGTTGGAGGAGGGTGATTGGTGGTGGAGGAGGAGGGAGTGACTGTTGGAGGAGGGTGATTGGTGGTGGAGGAGGAGGGAGTGACTGTTGGAGGAGGGGGGTGACTATTGGAGGAGGGGGTGATTGGTGGTGGAGGAGGGTGTTAACTGTTGAAGGAATGTGGGTGGTGGTGGTGGCAGAGGATATTCACTGTTGGAGATAGGTTTTGACTGTTGGATATGATAACTTAACCCTTTAAACACAAAGAATTAACTCTTTGACCACCTTGAATTAACCCTTTGAGCACCTTGAATTAACCCTTTCAGCACCTTGAATCAACCCTTTGAGCACCTTGAATCAACCCTTTGAGCACCTTGAATCAACCCTTTGAGCACCTTGAATCAACCCTTTGAGCACCTTGAATCAACCCCTTCAGTACTCAAAGGGTTAAGGAATAGAATTAATCATTACGAACGTTTTATTTTTTTCTAAGAATCACCAGGTAGGAGAGTTACTGCAGGGAGGTGCTTAGTTACAGAGGCTGAGAGAGTTTTGCTGTAGGTCGGGATCTTGTGGAAATTGACACTGAAATCCGAGTTACAGCTTGGGGGGTACAACCACTCCTTCCTGTCCTGATCTTAACCTACATGTGTGTGTGTGTGTGTGTGTGTGTGTATGTGTGTGTGTGTGTGTGTGTGTAAACTTCTGAGTACTTCACCACATTCTTAAAGGTTGTGTGCTACTGTAATAACGACAATGTCCCCTTATAATAATGGGTTCACATACACACACACACACACACACAGAGTCTTAGGTGTTCCTATTATCCGGCTGAATATTTAATGGCATAATCTCTTGCCCGACCCTCATTTAGCGAGGGAGGGTGGTGGTAGGGAAGGGGTGGTGGTAGTAGTGGTTTTAATAGTGGTAGGGAAGGGGTGTTGGTAATAGTAGTGGTGGTGGTGGTGGTAGGAGAGGGGTGTTGGTGGTAGTAGTGATGACAGTAGTAGTAGTAGAAGTAGTTATAGTCGTGTTACAAACCAAACTAAACACATTCTTCCATATCTCGTCACTTTATCAACAATATCTAAGTTTCTTTTCGTTTTTAAATTACAAAATATACCTTAAAATACGGAAATAGAATGAGATGAAAATTACATGTAAATTTGGTCATAATTCTATATGTATTTACTAATATCATGTAAGTCAGGTGATTGTAGTCTAATTTATTTAATACCTGTAATTAATTTTCGTCAGGTGAGTCTTATCTCTCTTTCTCTATTATCTCTATCTTATTCTCTCTCTTCCTCTATGACTCTTACCCCTCTCAATCACTTTCTTGCATTTATTCTCTTTCTCTCTATCTCTCTCCCTCTCCCCTATTGTGACGTCATTGGACACACCTGGCCGGGGACTTATTGATTGGACCATTACCTGAGTCATATAGTGTTGCGTAATGCACCAGTTTGGGTTACGCAGAGGCACTGACCCCCCCTCTTTGAGTCAGCTGGTGTTAATAACTAAACCAGCTGTGACTCATCTGGTGATATTGAACCATCTGTGAGTCATAACATTCTCCAAACATACATACTTTGGGTCCCAGCACTCATGAAATAACTGCTTTCATTTCTTGATTAATTTTCTTTATAAATTTTACATTCAGGAAGTTCTACCACTCCGCTCCTTCACCTATCCGGGTCACTGTGTGATCGTATGTCCGTCTGTGGTGACCTGATATGATCCAGGACACACGCAGCTGATCAGTGTCAACAAAGGTGTACCTGTGAGGGCTGAATCTCTTGTTACCTTCATGGTGGGTCCAGGTATTGACGTAGTGTGTGTGTGTGTGTGTGTGTGTGTGTGTGTGTGTGTGTGTGTGTGTGTGTGTGTGTGACATTATAGTGAACAAAGATCAAGTGAGTGAAAATCTAGATATATAGACGAAATAGGTCTTAGTAACCAATCATGTTATATTTATATCCTGTACAAATATCGACTTTCAGTAATTACATCATGTTGTGTGTTAGTATGTCAGTCTTAAGTTGACTGACACCACCAAACATGAATTAATCGATGATATTGAAGAAGTAGAGGACTTATCACCTGTCAGTTGTGCCTCACGCTGTAGTACCTTCGTCAGGATAAAGGTACTGTATTGACACATAGCATTGAGGTGTGTTATTGGTCACCTGATCGATAGCATAACAGGTGAAAGATTTAGTACCTGGGTGTGTGAGTCATGTTTTAATTTCCTGGGATTATGAGTCAATTTGTGTTAATTTCCTGGGATTATGAGTCACGTTGTGTTTATTTCCTGGGTTTATGAGTCACGTTGTGTTAATTTCCTGATAAGTTAAGTATCGGTGTCCAGTAAATGTGTTAAGTTTATTTCTTAGTGAGCAGCTGACAAGAAGGGGGGGGGGCATCAGGTGACTGGGAAGGGAGAGGGAGGGAGGGATGGGGAGATGGGAAGGGTGATTCACGTTTCATTATACCGTG